AGGGATAATAGAGGGATAGAATCAAGATCACATGAAGGTCTAGTACCACTTTACAAAGCCTTAGTAAGACCACACTTGGAGTACTGCATCCAGTTCTGGTCACCACAATACAAAAAAAATATGTTGAGACTCTGGAAAGAGTGCAGAGAAGACCAACAAAAATGATTAAGGGGTTGGAGGCTAAAACGTATGAAGAATGGTTAAAGGAATTAGGTATGCCTGGTCTAATGAAAAGGACTGGAGGGGATGTGATAGCACTGTTCCTATATTTGAGAGGCTCTTATAAAGATGAGGGGGTCAAACTATTTTCCAAAGCACTAATAGGCAAGACCAGAAACAATGGTTGGAAACTAACCAAGGAGAGAAGCCATCTAGAACTAAAGAGCGATTTCCTAATGGGAAGAGTAATTAACCAATGGAAAGTTTGCTTTTAGAAGTTGTGGTTGCTCCATCATTGAAGGCTTTCAAAAAGAGGCTGGACAATGTGTCTGAAAAGATAGAGTTACAGTCACAGGAATAGAGCAGGGGGTTGGATTAGAAGACCTCTGAGGTCCCTTCCAACTCTCTTATTCTATGTTCTGTAGGCTGTGTAGGCCTTTCAACAAACTCTAGTGGAGTCAAGGGGTCCTCCATGCTACCTCTCATCCTTCCACCGACTGTTCTTTAAGAAAAGAGCCATCTTCCTATTTGAAAGCTTGCAACATCCTTCCAGAACAGGCGCTTTTAAGAGTAGAATGTCTCTCTCTTATTTTCTTAAAGAAAAAAAAATACAACAACCCTAAAACTTGCATTCCATTGAACTCCATGGAACAACACACCACAGGCTCCTGTATGTCTGCCTTTCTCTTCTCAGAACTTTTGATTTGGCACTTTGAGCCGGAGATGATATTAATCCCACAGCCGTGTTGTGTCTGCAAGCAGCAAAGCTGAGCAGAAATTACAGGGTGACTAGAACAGGAATTATTTGAAATGGCTCTTCATAGTCCGTGGGTTGCACAACTTTCAGGCAGAAGAAATATTCTTTTTTTTTTATTTTTATCCATCTCTGCTTCAGTCAGAGATTAATGTTTACAAGCGTTCTCCTTTTCTGCACCTCATTCAGATGACTTGGCTGGCCAGGAATTAGCTGTGGAACAAAAAGCAAATTGGCTAGCGAATTTGGGAGTAAGTCCAATGAAACAGAGTTTTGTACATAACACATGGCCATCAAGGGTTGGCTTTGCAAAGGATTTTTCTTGTGTTTGCTTGAAAAAAGGGTTAAATTTTAGGATGCATAACATTATGCCAAGCTGACTTGTCAAGATTTGCAGATCCCAGTCAGTTCATGATGATTCAGCAGATAAATTTGCAAGCACAGGTATTCCAGGATTAGAGAGTTGCAAACATGCAAATTCCTCCTCCCCTCCACTAAAAGAAAGAGTGGGAAATGATTCCATTCACCATCAGAAGTTTTTTTTATAAATAGAACAGAAGGAAGAGTGGGGGAGGGAGAAGGAGGAGGAGAAAAGAGAAGGAAGGAGAAAGGGAGTGAAAGGAAAGAGATGAAGAAAGGGAGAAGGAGAAGAAAGGGAAGGGAGAGCAAGACAATGAGAAGAAGAAAGGGGAATGGAGAAGGGAGATAGGAGGAGGAGAAAGGAAGGAAGGAAGGAAGGAAGGAAGGAAGGAAGGAAGGAAGGAAGGAGGGAGGGAAGGAAAGAAAATGGAGACAGGAAGGAAGAAGAGAGTAAAGGGAAAGGAGATGGAGACAAGGAGAAGAAGAAGGAAAGGGAATGGAGGAGGAGAAGGGAGATGGGGAAAGGAAGATGAAAAGTGAAGGGAAAGGAGATGGAGAGAAGAAGAAGAAGGAAGGAAAGTGGAGACAGGAAAGAGGAAAGTGAAGGAAGATGAGAATAAAGAGAAGGAATAGCTTTGGAAATTAATTCCCTTTCTGCTGGTGCTATTTGCTAACTCTGGCCCAGAAAAATTGCACCATTAAATGAACGGGTCTGTGTGAAAGATTAAGTGTGTGAGGTCTATCACAAAGACAGAGAACCTGAGGACCTCCCCATGTGTTAAACTACTATTCTCAGCCTTTCTCCTGTCTGGCTATGTTAGGGAGAGTTATTGAGAACTATAATTCTGCAGTTACAAACTGGGTTTCCTTCAGTGCTCAAACCCAAGAGGAAAGATGAAATCATCTAGTGGCTCTCCAGCTTTTGTGCAGCCCAGATGAGATAGACTTGAGTCAGAGCTCTGTATCTTTGAATTGATGAATCATCATCAATTGTCATCATTATTTTTGTCTTCAAGAATTTTAGGCTATACCCCAGATCTGGATTCCGAAACGGTTGATGATGCGTTTGCCCGAGCCTTCAAAGTCTGGAGCGATGTCACGCCGCTGGAATTCTCCCGAATTCATGATGGAGAGGCAGATATCATGATCAACTTTGGACGATGGGGTATGCACATCACGATACGGCGGGTCGGTTCCTACTCTGGTTTCTTGGCTGAGTTGAGTTGGTTTGTCAGAGTGTTTGCAATGTGACTACTATTGTGAGACAACCCAGGAGCACAACACAACACACAGAGGCTTTGTCTTTTAACAATGGTTTATGTCCAAGACTGCTATCTACATACATGTACGTGGTAGGCACATACCAGGCAAGCAATCAGTCTTCATTACTCTGCATGGAGAGAACTACAATGGAGATAGAACACGAGGATATTGCTGATCCATGACCTTTTGTGGTAGTAAGCTTGAATTTTATTCATCCCTCACTCCGATGTAAGCCTCAGGTTTCACCCAACAGCCAAAACAATGCTTAAATTGTCACTTCTACCCCAAAGATGTCTAGGTACCAGGGTCTGATATTCTTTTGTTCCTTCTTCTGCAGAACATGGGGATGGGTATCCTTTCGATGGTAAAGATGGTCTCCTGGCTCATGCTTTTGCCCCTGGACCAGGAGTTGGCGGTGATTCCCATTTTGATGATGATGAATTTTGGACTTTGGGTGAAGGCCAAGGTAAGACAGCGGTTTCTGCTTCAGAACTTACACAGGTGTCCTTGGCTGCCATCGTTGTTTTTCTTCTGCTGATGGATCCTCTGTCCTCTCTTTCCAAGTGGTCAGGGTGAAATACGGCAATGCGGATGGAGAATACTGCAAATTCCCCTTCCTATTTGGTGAGAAGGAATACAACAGCTGCACTGATGCAGGGCGAAGTGATGGGTTCCTGTGGTGCTCAACTACCTACAACTTTGATACAGATGGCAAATATGGATTCTGCCCCCATGAATGTAAGTTGAAGGATGGCTATGGGGACTTAAGAAGGCTGCTCTAATTGGGTATTGGCTTGTGGCCTTATGACAGGGTAGAGGCGAATGATTGAGCCTTCTCAATAGCAATAGCACTCAGACTTATATACCGCTTCATAATGCTTTGCAGTCCTGTCTAAGCAGTTTACAGAGTCAGCACATGGCTCCCAACAATCTGGGTCCTCATTTTAGCGACCTCAGAAGGATGGAAGGCTGAGTCAACATTGAGCCTGCAGAAGTAGCCTGCAATACTGTACTCTAACCAATGCACCACTGCGACCTCATGTGTGCTAGTTTCCATAAGTTCATTTGATCTCTTAAGGGACAAGGTCTCACCATTTGTCAAAGGTGATTAAAATAAAGAGCCAGCCTGGTGAGGAGGAGTTGCAAAACACCACTGAATTCAAAAGCTCAGGGAAATTATGATGTGATACCATAGTGCCTTCATTGCAAAAGAGAGGTTGACAAAGCCAATGAGTCATGAGTGGGCAGGAAACAAGAATTCCTGCCAAGTGAGAACCATCCAATTCCAAATACTTGTTTTATTACTGCAGCAATTTCTCCCTACTGGGCATTTATCTGATGCTCAGCTGCCACCAAAGAGAAACAACAGTAAGCAAACGTCCATTTCCCATGAATGAAGAGAAATATATGTGTCCCAGGATAATGTGGCAGTGTGATAATAATCAACCATTCAGGTATCAAGACAACTGGAGACATGTGAACAATATGTAAGAGCTTTATTATGAAGCTTTTGCAAAAGGGAATTCTGCTCATGGGCAGAAGGCATGCTTGCCAGGAAGGCTGGGGTTTATCTACAGGTTCAAATATACAGTCTCTGCTCCTTTCCGGATTCACAATCTATCCAGCTACGTATCTCCCTATGCAACACCCTATTATTATTGTAGCATAACATCGGTTACATCTCTGGTTCGGGTACCTGGCCTAGATTGGATCCTGCCTGTGATATGTAGAATTATACCTGTGAAAATGTAAATCCAATCTAGGTCAGACACCAGAACCAGAGATGTA